CTGCAGCGAGCGCTGGGCGTCTCGTTTGGAGTTCGATAGAGGGGGGGTCCTTGGGCTGACGCCTTGCGAGCCGCCGACCCTTTAGTGGCCCTGCCACGGTGTTTCCACGCGGCAGGCCTGCCGGGCGGGCGCGGGGCCCTTGGGCCCCCCCCCCGCACGTCTCTCAGCAAATGCCCCCCTGGGGGTTGGTGGAAAACCGTCGTTGCTGCCCCGTGGGAACGCAGAGGGGGCAATTCGCATCCTGGAGGCGCGCGGGGCCGTCTCGCCGCCGTTCGTAGGAGAGTGAGAACTGCCGGGTCCCATGGATGTCGGATGCTCGGCTTCTCAGATAGCACGGCCGCGGCGCCCGCCCTTTCCAAGGGTCGCGCCGCCGACGACGGCTGGCTCCAGATTTGTCGTCAGCTCGCGGCGGTGTCTCTCGCAGCAGGCTCGCGTGCGCGGCGGAGATGTGCCCCGTCGGAGTTCAATCGCGCGGATGAGCAGTCGCGCCGGATCGCTGTCGCCGCAAGCGTCGCCGACGAGGCTCGGCTCGCCCGGGCCCCAGCGCGGGCCGCCCGCGAGCAGGCCCTCTCGGGCGGCGGCGATGGAGGCGGGGGCCAATCGCGAGGCCCCCCGCCTCACCTGGCGGGCTGCCCGAGCGGCTCCGTCGTCGGCGCCGCCCCCCAGCGGCGGGGCGGAGACGCCGCCTCGCCGCCTAGCGCGGAGCCCCCCCTCGGACAGGCAGGCTGCCCTGCTGTCCCGGCCGCCGCTGCAGGGCGCCGCTGACGGCGGGCCGACGGCCGCCCGAGCGCCTCGGAACGCGGGCCGCTGGACCTGCGTGGATCACGGGCGTTGGGTCCGAGAGCCGCCGGCTGACGCCAGCGCCGCCGACCGAGGGGTCCGCGCCGGGGCTGAGCCGGGGCGAGAGGCTGCGAGCTCCGCGGGCCTCCGCGAGATCGAAGCGGACCCTCGCCAGACCCGAGCCCGCTCTCCCGAGAGTTCGGGGCGGGGGGCTGAGCCTGCTCGAGAGCCGGTCTGCGGGCGAGGCCACGCAGAAGCGCTACTGGGTGATCTTCGACTCGGTCATGGAGTTTGCCTAGCAGGAGCGTCATTGCACGACGACGCCCGCCGACGTGGACTCGGCCGCAGTGGAGTACCTCGACTTCTGGTTCCTGGAGGGGGGCCGCTGCGACGTCGGAAACACGTTGTTCGGGGCCGTGCCCTTCTGCCGCGCGGAAGTGGCCAGCCTTGGCCGAGGGCCCCGCCCTCGCCTCCGCCGGGCCTTGAGAGGCTTCCGCAAGGCGGCGCCGCCAGCCAGCCGCCTTCCCCTTCCCCGGGGGTGGCGCGCGGCGCTGGCGGCCGCCATGAACTGGCGAGGCAGCGCGCGGGCGGCGATAGCGCTGGCGACGTCCTTGGACACGCGCAGTCGCCCTGGGGCGTTGATGTCGGCGATGGTCGGCGACGCGCTGACTCCGGCGGCTGCGGAGGGCGCGAATCGCTGGGGTATCATCCTGTTCCCACATGATATAGAGGCGAGACGGGCAAGACGAGCACCCAGGACGACGCGATCATCTTCGGCAGTTTCGACATCAACACCGCCCGCCTGGCGAGGGCGCTCATGGGTCGAAGGTCCGCCGACGAGATGCTGTTTCCCATCGGCGCACGGCTCTACAATAAGCACTTCGACAAGGCCCGCGTCGAAGTCGGGCTCGAAGCTGTCAGACCACTGACGCGCCGGGCCCGACGCGGAGGCGCCGCGAGGGACATCTTGCTCAAGCGTCGGACCATCGAGGAGGCCCGCAAGAGGTGCACCAGAGAGACATGCGCCAGTCTGCGCAGGCGCGAGAAGAGTGGGCGAGCGCAGAGAAACATGCAGACCACGCCGCCCCACCTGTTCGCCCTCGCGCAGCTGGCGCGAACAAGCCTCGAGGGGCGGCTCCTTGGATGGCCCCCCAGCGCCCCGCTTCGGCCGCGCAAGCGAAGCCTGCCGCTATAGAGGTCTTCGCCGGCGCGGCAGGCGTCAGCGGAGCTCTGGCCAAGCGCGGGACCCCCGCCTTGGTCTGCGAGATCCTGGATGGGCCCAGCCCCGATGTCTCGAGGTCGGGCGCGCAGAAACATATCTTCGATTTGGTTCGATCCGGACAGATCCGATTCGCCTGGGTCGGTTGCCTTGCCAAACCTACAGCCGCGCGCGCGCTGGAGGCGCCTGTCCACGGCCTGTCAGATCCACGATGTGTCCCCTGGGCTTGCCTGTTCTCTCGCCGAAGGAGCCCCGGAAGGTTGCAGGGTCCAGTGTTATCGCGCGTTTTGTCGTTCGCCTTCTCTGGTGTTGTCATCGACACAAATTCTGTGCGGTGTTAGAGAAGCGCACTAGCATCCTTTGGCATGTGCCACGCATCCGCCCCCTCCACGATTTTTTGGTTGTTTATGTGAAGGAGGCTGAAGTTGTTACTGCAGATACGGTGCGAAGTGGAGAAAAAGGGACAACTCTCTGTGCACCTTTTCGGATGCCGCCTCCCTCAAAACCATGTGTAAAGGCTTCCGTGGAGCGCGTGGCGTCACAGGCCGCCCTCACTTCCCCCTCTCTGGTAAAGATGGCAACGGCGTTTTCTGGACCCGCCGCGCCCAAGGATGCCTTAAAAAACTGTGCTCGTCGGTGCCCCGCCTCGTGTCTTCTAAGTGGCTACGCCAGAACAAACCATGGACTATGGTGTAGCTCTCTGGTGGCGTGGACGCCCCTTGAGCGTGTTTTCTGGACAGCACGCCTCACGAGTCCGTTCGCGTGCGTCTTCATGCGTGGCTTCTGCTGGAAAAATGAGCATCGCCATTTTAAGATTTATCCCACTGTGACAGAGCGAATAAATCGCCGCTGGGCCCCCGATCCGAGTCGATCCCGTTTGTATTCGTGATGGCTCAATTTGGTTTTCTGGCTCCTTCCTCCTCCCCTCCTCCTCCTTGGGTGTAAGCTCTCCGGTGGCGCGGGCGCCCTCTGAGCGTTTTTTCTTAACAGCACGCCTCACGAGTCCGTCCGCGTGCATGTGGATGCGTGGCTTCACACATAGTGTTGGACTCATGAGCATCGTCATTAATTTGTTTCAAAGCCAAGCGAAACATCAGGCAAAAACCCCGGTTCGGAAATGAGCCGGCCTCTATGCATATAGTTGTTTCGTTCGTTGATTGTTTGCGGTGGGATAGCTTGAGGGCGCCTCAGGCGATAGCTTTCTTGTAATGGCCTCCGGCCAGTGCCGCCGATCCGGGGGGCTCAAGATTCGGTGATCTTTGCGGCTCTGTGGCCTCATCCCTTCTCGATTTTTCTGGTCCGCTTTATTTTCTAAAACTTGGGGGGGTGCCTGGAACCGCCGTTCTGGGGGGGGGCCCGGGGAAGGTTCCGAGGGGAGTGTCTTGGGGGCGGTCGCGGCTAGGTCTCGGGGGGGGTCCCTGGGACCTCCCGAAATATTTTGGGGATGCGCTAATCATTAGAGAGAGCGCCAGGTGGGGGACCGCCCCCCCCCCCCCCCCTGTCCCGGGGGAGGTCCGGATGCGCAAATCATTCGAGCAAACGCCAGATGAGGGACCGCCCCCCACCCCAGTTCCCCAGCAGAGCCACCCCGGCGCCCCCCCCAAGCAGACAAGCAGAACTGAAGTTCTTGCTCAGGCTCAGAGCTGGAGCTTTTGATGAGGTCCCTTGTAGTTCACAACCAAATCGGCGGATTTTGAAAAAGTTTAGGCCCTGATGTGTCTAGTAATTGGTGGTATTTATTAAGGCGAATCTCCCGTAGAATTCGGACCCCGCCTTTTGCAGGATATTGAGTGGAAACCCCACGAGGGGGCCCGCGAGGCTTGAGCCATAATGGCAATGGAAAGAGTAGGATGCGGGGGAAGAGGAAAAAGGAGGAGGAGAAGGAGGAGGAGGAGGAAGAGGAACATCCAGTGGAAACTCACGACGCATCGACGATGTTGCAATAATCCCCCCCTCCAAGTTTCATCTTCATAGGTCGCTACAAAAATGTGCTCTCATTGCGGGCAGTGTCCCATTGGACGACCACCGTCTGAGAATTCTCAATCGTGCCAATTGGCACTTCAGCGCCGCGAGTCAGAGGGACGTCTGCATCCTGACAATCCGAAATCGCCCCAGAAGACATCCTGAGACTGCAACGCCGCGAATCAACGTCACTGCTGCGCCCCGACAATCCGAAATCGCGGCAGGACACCATCCTTAGGACTTCAATCGTGCGTATCCACGACAGTGTTGCAACTATTCGAAACGAATGTGCACGGCGCTGCGGCGAGAACCACATTTTGAAATGGAGCCGCCCTCCATCCGCGAACTTGTTGCAATCGCCTAAAGCGTATGTGCTCGCCGCCTTGTGCGAGAGCCACATTTTGAAAACAACCCGTCCCCTATATTGTGAAATTGCTGCAATCTTGAAGGCGTATGTTTGGAGGCCCAGAGGTTGACACCATCACCAATATCGGCGGTGTGCCTCCACCGAGGGAAAATGATCCCGATCCCGGCGATGGTGGTGATATTTGGGTTTCCTAGGTGGCCGAAAGATTACCACCAACACCGAAATCGAGGATCAGATTCCCCCTGTGGAGGCAAACCCCCTGTGCTGGCGCTGGTGCCCATTCCCAAACCTTCAATCTGTGCGCGGCGCTAAGATCAGAGCCACGTTCTCAAAACCGCCCGCCCTCCATCGCTGAAAACTGTTGCAAGTTTCAGGCTCCGCGATCGTAAAAATGGTGAGGACATCCGGAGCGAACCGCCCAGCCCGCCCTGCCTGCACGTGTGGGGGTGCGACAGGGAGGAGCTACGCAGAAGGAGAGGAGTGGAGGAAGAGGAGGAGGAGGAGGAGGAGGAGGAGGAGGAGGAGGAGGCGGAGGAGGCGGAGGAGGAGGAGGAGGCGGAAGAGGCGCGAGAGGAGGAGGAGGAGGAGGAGGAGGAGGAGGAGGAGGCGCCAGGGTCGGCGCTGTTCCCCGCCCGCGCCGCCCCGACCCGCGCGGGGGGCCGGACCGAGCAGGGCCTCCTGCTGCCCAAGTCGGCGGTGCCGCGGGCGGGCCCCGCGGGCTCCGAGGCCCGCGTGGGACGACGACGACGACGACGCCGACGACGACGCCGACGCCGACGACGACGACGACGACGACGACGACGACGACGACGACGACGACGACGGCCGCTACGACGACGGCGACAGCGACGACGGCGGCGACGACGACTGGGCTGCTGGCGGGGTGCGATGGGCGCGGAGCGGGGGAAGGCCGAGGAGGAGGAGGAGGAGGAGGAGGACAGGGAAGGGAAGGGGAGGGGAGGGGGAGAGGAAGGAATTGTGAGGGGGCGGGCCTGTGACGCCCCCTTGTCCTGCTTCGCTCAGGACCGTGTGAACCTTATAAAGCTTCGGGAAGTATGATGGCTTCACTCTTGAAACGGTGGAGCGCATCACCCTGACGGGCATTCGCGTCCACTTGTAAGCCATGGCACTTCCTGCGCCCCTGGAGGCCCATGGGCCAGTGCAGCATCACATGCTTCATCGGCTCCTTGATATTCACGAGCCCTGGTAACAGAGCTGCTCTGCGCGCCTGGGCACGCTGAATCGCTCATCGCCTCTACGAGCCTTCGGAACATTTCACATTCGTACGCACATGGTTTCGGACCTATATAAACCGTCTGAAATTGTGGGCTCTGTGAGCCCTGTATCCGTGCGTTCAACCATTGGATGAGCAGCGGAGGCTCACTGCAGCTGAAGCCCTTTGAAAACCACAATATCCGTTGCAGCGGAAATATGCCACTGGGCATTCCCAAATAATTCGTGGTGGAGTACACCTTTTTCACATAACGTTCGGTCTCATTTCGATGGCCGTACCCGAAGGGTCTGCGCAGCTCGTCTCTCACCGTCAGCGCGACGTTGCAATAATGACGGCGGGCGTGCCGCGGGTTCGGTTGCTTGGAGTCGCTTCCGCGCTTGCCAGGCTGACAGGTGCGCTGGCCGTGGCAGTGCGTGCCTTGCGCCGCCTTTCCTTCCCCCCGCTTGCCTTGCCTCGCCGCTGGCAGGTGTTGGCCAGACTCCCGAGTCATGGATGTTTCTTTTTCCGGACCTTGGTTCGTTTGACATGGAGCCCTTTTTGGGGGGGCCGTTTTAGGGTTGTCTTGGGTTCTTGTGGATCAGTCTTTGGGATTCTTTTGGGCGTTCTTGCCCTCTGGGGTCGTCTGAGTCTTGGCCTCTCTCGGGCATTAGTGTTAAGGCCGGCCTGTCCCTCTACAGGAGGAATATTCGAAAACAGTCCAAGCATAGTCTGGGGACGATTTTTGTTAACTATTTTTGCCCTCAGGGGGTGTATTGTTCGAGATTTTTTCAGTTTTCGCCCAAAATCCCCCTGTAGGGGGACATGCCCGACCTAACCCTAGTGGGAACATGTTGCCCGTCTTGGGCCGTCGAGGGGCCCTCTCGGGCAAGCTTGGGGCTCTCCTGTGGCCGTCCTGGACCGTCTTATTCAAAGATAGTGAAAAAATAGTCGGGGGACGATGTTTCTATTATGTTTGACCATTCTGAGGGTACTTTGGGACAATGTTTAATTCTTCGTTCAACGAACAGCCTGTAGGGGGACACGCCCGACCTAAGTCTAGGGGCTCTGTTGGGCTGTCATGAGGCCGTCTTAAAATTATTGTCCAGCTCGGGGCTGTCATGAGCCGTCTTGGGGCCATCTTGGAAGTAGGGTAGGCTGGAGATGCAAACTGCCTGAAAGGGCGGAGACACCTCAATCTGTGAGAAACCTTGGGGAAATCAAGTGGGTTTCGTTGAAGGCAACCGGAAACACTCGTGGGCCATCGCTGGCTACGTATTTTGAACCATCTTAGATGTCATGCAGGAGGGAGGGTTTCATAAGGCCATGGTGGAGCCATGTGGGGCGCGCTCATTGTTCGTGTCCTCTCCCCGCCCCACCCGAGGCTCAGCAGACGCATACTATCTCGCCATCGGATATGCAGCGTACGCCCCTCCACGAAGAGGAACACAGAGCTCGAAAGAGGAGTCGCCCTAAGCCACCTACGCCCAGCAGAAGGCTGGGTGGACTTGCGACCACACATTTTGTCATGCAATCCGATGCCGTGTCCTACCCTCTCTCCTCTCCATATTCTCCATTTCTCTCTCTCACTCTCTCTGTGTCTATTTGTCTTATTTCCCAAGCATTAAGTGATGTTGGGTCCTCGTTTTGAAGAGACAGCGCCCCGCGTTCCTCCTCCTCCCCCTCCTCCCGCTACCCCTTTCCTCCTCTTCCTCCTCCTCCTCCTTGCCTCTGCCCTGCGCATGTTTCTGTTTCGGCATACCCAGCACAGCGTTTCGTGGCCCTATTAGGAGCTCCACCGAAGGCCCCAGTGGCAGGGTTCGCATGGCGCCGCCGCACCAATCTCGGCACACCCCTCACACGGTTCGTGGCTCCATCGGGAGTTCCACCGAAGGCCCTTGTTGCAGGTTTCGCATGGCGACCGCACCCGCTCACCCTCACACGCTTCGTGGCCCCATACGGAGCTCCACCGAAGGCTCCAGTGGCTAACTCCGCATGTCGCCACCACAACCATGTTGGTACACCCCTCACACGTTTCGTGGCCCCATGGGGAGCCCCACTGAAGGCCCCGATTGCAGGTTTCCATGGCGCCACCGCACCGACTTCGGCCCACCTCTCACACGCTTCGTGGCCCCATGGGGAGCTCCATTTCAGTACATCCGTCACACATTTCGCGGCCGCATAGGGAGGTCCATCGAAGGCCCCAGCGGCAGGGCTCGCATGGCGCCATCGCACCAATTTCAGCACACCTCTCACACGTTTCGTGGCCCCATACGGAGCTCCACCGAAGGCTCCAGTGGCTAACTCGGCCTGTCGCCACCACAACCATGATGGTACACCCCTCACACGTTTCGTGGCCCCATGGGGAGCCCCACAGAAGGCCCCAATTGCAGGTTTCCATGGCGCCACCGCACCGACTTCGGCCCACCTCTCACACGCTTCGTGGCCCCATGGGGAGCTCCATTTCAGTACATCCGTCACACATTTCGCGGCCGCATAGGGAGGTCCACCGAAGGCCCCAGCGGCAGGGCTCGCATGGCGCCATCGCACCAATTTCAGCACACCTCTCACACGTTTCGTGGCCCCACAGGGAGCTCCACCGAAGGCCACAGTGGCAGGGTTCGCACGGCGCCACCGCACCAATTTCGGCACACCCCTCACACGTTTCGTGGCCCCATAGGGAGCTTCACCGAAGGCCCCAGTGGCAGGGTTCGCATGGCGCCACCGCACCAATTTCGGCACACCCCTCGCACGTTTTGTGGCCCCACAGGGAGCTCCTCCCAAGGCCTCAGTGGCAGGATTCGCATGGCGCCTCCGCAGTCAGTTTGACGCACCCCTCACGCGTTTCGTGGCCCCGTAAGGGGGCTCCACCAAAGGCCCCAGTGGAAGGGTTCGCACGGAGCCGCCGCACCCATTTCAGTACACCCGTCACAAATTTCGCGGCCGCATAGGGAGGTCCACCGAAGGCCCCAGCGGCAGGGCTCGCATGGCGCCATCGCACCAATTTCAGCACACCTCTCACACGTTTCGTGGCCCCATTGGGAGCTCCACCGAAGGCCACGGTGGCAGGGTTCGCATGGCGCCACCGCACCCATTTCGGCACGGCACCAACACGTTTCGTGACCGCACAGGGGGCTCCACCAAAAGCCACAGCGGCAGGGTTCGCATGGCGCCACCGCACCCATTTCGGCACACCCCTCACACGCTTCGTGGCCCCACAGGGAGTTCCACAGAAGGCCACATTCGCAGTGTTCGCATGGCGCCATCGCGTTTTGTGGCTCCACAGTGAGTTCCACCGAAGGCGGGGCCCACAATTGCTGTATTCACAACCATCCTGTGGTGTTGGGTCCTCGCTTTGGAGAGAGAGCGCCCGCGTTCCTCACCTCACCTCCCGCGCTCCTCCCCCTCCTCCCTCCTCCCATCCCTGCCTCTGCCCCCCGCGTGTCCTCACACGTCGGCACAGCCCTCACACGCTTCGTGGCCCCATAGGGAGCTCCACCGAAGGCCCCAATGGCAGGGTTAGCATGGCGCCACCGCACCAGTATTGGCACACCCCTCACACGTTTCGTTGCCCCATCGGGAGCTCCACCCGGGGTCCTATGGCAGAGTTCGCATGTCGTCACCGCGCCAATGTCGGCGCACCTTTCACACGTTCCGTGGGGCCATAGGGGGCTCCACCGAAGGCCCCAGTGGCAGGGTTCGCACGGCGCCACCGCATTCATCTCGGCACACACCTCACACCTTTCGTGCCCCCAGAAGGAGCTCCACCGACGAGCCCCGTGGCAGGGTTCGCATGTCGCCACCGCACCCATGTCGGCACACCCCTCACATGCTTCGTGGCCCCATCGGGAGCTCCACCGAAGGCCCCAGTTGCAAGGTTCGCATGGCGCCGCCGCGCCCATTTCGGGACAGTCCTCACACGTTTCATGGCCCCACAAGGCCCCGGTGGCAGGGTTCGCATGGCGCCACCGCACCCATGTCGGCACACCTCGCACACGTTTCGTGGCCTCATCGGGAGCCCCACCGACGCCCCCCAGCGGCAGGGCTCGCATGGCACCACCGCACCCAGTTCGTCATACCTTTCACACGTTTCATGGCCCCATAGGGGGCTCCACCGACGACCCCAGTGGCAGGGTTCGTCTGGCGCCATTGCACCCGTGTCGGCACACCCCACACACGTTTCGTTCCCCCATAGGGAGCTCCACCGAAGGCCCCAGTGGCAGGGTTCGCATGGCGCCACCGCACCAATTTCGGCACACCCCTCGCACGTTTCGTGGCCCCACAGGGAGCTCCATCGACGGCCCCCGTTGCAGGGTTCGCATGGCGCCACCGAGCTCATTTCGTCACACCCTTTACATGCTTCGCGCCATATAGGAAGCTCCACCGAAGGCATCAGCGACAGGGTTCGCATGGCGCCACTGCACCGAGCGTGGCACATCCCTCGTACGTCTCATGGCCTCATAAGGAGCTCCACCGAATGTCCCGTGGCAGGGTTCGCATGGCGCCGCTGCACCCATTTGAGCACATCCTTCGCACGCGTCTTGGCCCTATAGGGAGCTCCGCCGAAGGTTACAGTGGTAGTGGTCGCATGGCGCCACCGCACCCGCACACCTTCACACGATTCGTGGCCCCATGGGAAGCTCCACCGAAGGCCCCAGCGGCAGGGCTCGCATGGCGCCACCGCACCCATTTCGACACCCCTCACGCGCTTCGTGGCCCCATGGGGAGCTCCACCCAAGGCCCCAGAGGCAGGGCTCGCACGGCGCCGCCGCACTCATTTTGACGCACCCCTCACGCGTTTCGTGGCCCCATAAGGGGGCTCCACCGAAGGCCCCAGTGGCAGGGTTCGCATGGAGCTCCCGCACCCATTTCAGCACTTCCGTTACAAAATTCGCGGCCGCATATGGAGGTCCACCGAAGGCCCCAGCGGCAGGGCTCGCATGGCGCCATCGCACCAATTTCAGCACACCTCTCACACGTTTCGTGGCCCCATTGGGAGCTCCACCGAAGGCCCCAGCAGCAGGGCTCGCATGGCGCCACCGCACCCATTTCGGCACACCCAGTACAACTTTTCGTGGCCTCATAGGGAGCTCCACCGAAGGCCCCAATGGCAGGGTTAGCATGGCGCCACCGCACCAATTTCGGCACACCCCTCACACGTTTCGTGGCCTCATTCGGAGTTCCACCGACGGCCCCTGTTGCAGGGTTCGCATGGCGCCACCGAACCAATTTCGTCACACCCCTCACACGTTTCGTGGCCCCACAGGGGGCTCCACCGAAGGCCCCCAGTGGCAGGATTCGCATGGCGCCACCGCACCCATTTCGGCACACCCCTCACACGTTTCGTGGCTCCATCGGGAGTTCCACCGAAGGCCCCTGTTGCAGGCTTCGCATGGCGACCGCACCCGCTCACCCTCACACGTTTCGTGGCCCCATACGGAGCTCCACCGAAGGCTCCAGTGGCAAATTCCGCATGTCGCCACCACAACCATGTTGGTACACCCCTCACACGTTTCGTGGCTCCATGGGGAGCCCCACTGAAGGCCCCAATTGCAGGTTTCCATTGCGCCACCGCACCGATTTCGGCCCACCTCTCACACGCTTCGTGGACCCATGGGGAGCTCCACCGAAGGCCCCAGCGGCAGGGCTCGCATGGCGCCACCGCGCACATTTCGGCACACCCATCACACGCTTCGTGGCCCCATAGGGAGCTCCACCGAAGGCGGGGCTCACAACTGCGATACTCACAACTTCATCCGGTTGGTTCCTTAGCCCGGATATTGTTCCGTGTGTTGTTGTTGTTTGCTATATTTTTGTTTGTTCGTTTTTTTGTTCCTCTCTCTCTCTCTCTTCACTCTCTCTCTCCCTCTCTATAAATACATATTCATATATATATATATATATCTTTCTCTCTATCTCTCTCTCTCTCTCTCGCGCGCCACCCAGGAAATGCCCGACCAGGGGCATGGCGAGAGCGGCGACGGCCAGGCCGAGGGCCCCCTGACGCCCGCCGAGGCCTGCCGCCGTCGTCACCGCCGCCGCCGCGACCGTCCCCGCCGCCGCCGCCGCCGCCCTCGGCGAGCAAGGGAGGGGAGGGCCCTGACCTTCCAGAGCTCTAGAAACTGGCCCTCGAGACTTCTGGACCTCCCTGCGCTGCCCGCAGCGCCTCGACCGGAGAGTGGGCCGTCGAGGTCCTGGTGCTGTTGTGCTGGCCCTCCTGGAAGGTCGGGGCGGGATGCCTGCCTTCCCCTCGCCCCAGCATCGCGCTCCCTCCCCCCCCCTCCCGCCAGCATCGCTCCCTCGCTCCCTCCGTCGCGCTCCCGGCCTTCCCCTCGCTCCAGCATCGCGTTCCCTCCCCCCCCTCCCGCCAGCATCGCTCCCTCGCTCCCTCCCTCCCCCTCCCCCTCCCTCCCCCCTTCCTCCTCCTCCTCCTCCTCCTCCTCCTCCTCCTCCTCCTCCTCTCCTCCTCCTCCTCCTCCTCCTCCCTCCTCTTCCTCCTCCTCCTCCTCCTCCTCCTCCTCCTCCTCCTCCTCCTCCTCCTCCTCCTCCCTCCCCCTCCCCTCCCCTCCCCTCCCCTCCCCTCCCCCCCTCCCCTCCCCTCCCCTCCCTTCCTCGCTCCCACGCTCCAGCATCGCGCATTCACTTCCTCCCCCCCCCTCCCGCTCTCGCGGGTTGGAGGTCCGGGCGCGCCAGCGGGAGCTCCCCAAAGCTCGAGAGGCCAGGGGGCGGCCGTTGTGCCCCCCCTCGGAGCTGTGGACCCCCCTGCCGCCCGCCGCAGTCCAGCCACACCTTCGCCTTGGCATCGCTCGGCCGTAAGCATTTTTCCTCGGCACGGGCCATCGAGGAGTATTTCTTTGAGGACATCTTGCGAGCGAGATACACGCACGGAGCCGACAGCTGCACGTGGAATGCACGTGCGAGCGATGGCGAGTCACCGTGCCTGGCCATCGCCATCCTGATCGGGGGAAAGAGGAGCGGCACCACCACCACCACCAGGGGGCACCTCCAGCGAGGAGGTCCACGATGTCTCCCCGAGCTGGGGATCGGGGGTGCCTCGAGCGAGCGGAGGGGGAGGGGGGGGGGGGGGCACCATCCAGGGGGACCCCCCCTGGCTCCTCCCTCTGGTCGTCCCTGGTGGTGGAGGTGCCGCCCTTGTTCCCATCCTGGGCCCTGGGGTGGTGTGTGCGCCGGGCCTCCCTGTCCCAGGCCAGGAGGCGGTAGAACGCCATCCCCGGGCCCAGGATGGCCCCGCCCAGGGGCAGTGCTGGCGCATGGCCTCCGCCTCCGCGTGCTGCCGCTGCTCGCGCGCCTCTTCGCGTGCTCCGGGCTCGCCGTCGCTCGGGGCCCAGGAGGAGCTCCTGCGCCCGGGGCGCCCTCCGTGCTCCCTCCGCCAGGGGGGGGCTCCTGCACCACGGCCCCCCCTCTCCGAGGGCGGCGTCCGGCGGCCTCCCGGGTGCAGGGCAGGTGTTGGCCGCCCTGCCGCGCCTGCCCCCCCCTGCGACGCGCCGCGGCCATGGCGCGGGAGCCCGTCGAGGGCGGGCGGGCAGGGGCAGACGGGCAGTGGCGCCGCCAGATCTCGACGGAGCTCGAGCACGCGCCGCCCGGGGCAAGCCGGGGCCCCGGGGCCGCGCCCGCCTGGCGCGGCGGCGGCAGCGGCGGCGGCAGCGGGCCCGCTGCCGAGTGGCCTCAGTTCTCGAATGTGGACCTGCACGAGGAGTCGGCCGTGGTCTGTCTGGTCGGCGGCGAGCGAGGGTGGGCAATGAGAAGGAGAAGGCCTTCTCAGAAGGTGGCGGCACTTCTCAGAAGTCCTGGCGCCTTCTGAGAGGTTGTCTGTGTCTTCGGGGAAGGCGCAGGAAACTTCTCACAAGGCCGGGGGACTTCCGAGCCTTCTGAGAAGGCCCGCCCCCTCTCGCCTCCTCCCAGTGCTCGCCGCCGATCTGGGGCTCGCAGATGGGGTCCCAGTCAAGATAGATTCGGGCGGGGCCACAGGACAAGGCTGAACATTCGCTCTGGGGCGTTCTGGAGCGCTCTCGGAGCCTTCCTGGAGCGCTCTGAGACAAGACCTCGGCGCCAGACACATCCCGCAGAGTCACCAGATCTGAGAGATTTCCGATGTATCCCTATCCGATGATGTCCCCGTCTTGGTTACGACTCACAGATGGAGTCAGAGGTTCGCGCCGCATCGCCGATGCATCGGAGATGCGGGTTGATGCGGATCCCGATTTTATCCACGCTGACGTCGCCGATTTACCGCCAGCTTCATCGGGGATGTGGCGCGATCCTCCGACCCCAATTACTCGGACACCATCTAGGAGTCCTCTAGTTCTGGGTTCGAGGCCTAGCTTTGATGTCTTTGCCCCACCTCTTTGGGGCCCCTGGGAGGTTTCTCTTCGCCACTGCCAGATTCCCTGCGACATCCGGGTCAAGGCGCACCCCACGAGAGTTCTGGGCGTTGCTCTCGTAGCGTCGCCATCGAAAAAGATGGCCCTGAGACAAAGGTCGTCCTGACTTGTTTCGCAGCTGTGGGGATCCTGGGGCCCTCTGGGGCTCTAGACGACTCAGGGTAAACATAAGTCCTGGAGTAAGTCCTACGGCCCAGGCTCCGTCTCAGGACTGGTCTCATTCGCGGTCTCTGTCCAATTCTCTGTCATTCTTTGGTGTAATTTGTATTTTTTTCTGGGAGGTGCGGCCAGGCGAATGGGTTGAACGGAACTGTTCATGCCCATCAGTAGGGCGTGGGAGTTTGGCGGCCGATGACTCAACGTATGGCGCAACGCGTAGCAGGACGTTTCCAGTTTCGGCCGCCGATGTTACAAGCGGCCGAGGGTGCAATTTATGAACCCACGGCCCGACCAATAGTAGGACGTTGGCAACTCCTCCGCGGCCGAAGACGCAACCCGTGGCGAAACAAGTAGCAGGACATGTGAAGTTCGTGCTGCATCGGCACTCATGTTGAAATGCCGGGGGTCTTCGGCACAACTTCTGGCGCAACCCAACGCAGGCAGCCCGCTCCATCTGGTCCAATCCCACTCCACGTCTTGGTGGCCCGATCACCAATCCTGTAGAGCCCCACTCGATAGCCCCGAAGGCTCCCTCACCACGGAGTCCCAGGGACCACTCCGTAGAGACCCACACGACAGGGTCGATGGAGGGGGAGGGGGGGAGGAAAGTGAGGAGGAGGGCGAGGTCGAGTCGACCACGAGTTCGAAAAGACGAGGCCGCGGAAGTAGATGCGGGCGGGATCATATTCGCACACATGTTCTGCGGAGTTGCGCGCAAGTTGTGTTGGCCGTTAGGGCTTTGATGCGGTGGATTCAAATCGCGATTTGGCCAAGGGGAGAGAGAGAGAGAGAGAGAGAGAGCGAGAGGGAGAAATAGAGAGGGAGAGAGGGAGAGAGAGAGAGAGGAAGAGATGGGTGAGGTCGGGATGGGACCCAGGACAGGTCTGGGGGCCGATCGTCATCCCCCTCGGGATCCGAGCTGGGATGGCGTTGTGGTTTGTTTGGCGCGCGCATGCGCACAAGACATTGTCGGCGGCGTGTCTCTCTGGGCCCGCTCGTCAAGGGGCAGGCTTGTGGTAGCCGCCCGGACGCCAAGTTTCCAGGACAGGCCTCTGTCCTGTCCAGGCAGGTGTCTTGGGCCGAACCAGTCTTGGCCAGGGTCGCTCTAGCGACTGTGAGGCGCCAGCCTCGGCAGACGCCCTCACCGAGGCTCGCCAGGGTAGTGAGGACCTTGCAGCCGACGCCCGGTGAGGTGCCTGGTCGATTTCCCTCGCCTCTGCCCCCGAGGTCACCCTTCTCCCTGTCGCGCGCAAGCTTGCCACCCGCCGCAGGAGGAGCGGCGTCACGCGCACGCGGCGTGGCGGGTCAGCGGGGCGTTCTACCAGTGGTGGTTCGCGGCGCAGGCCTGGGTGCTGGCCATCTCGGTCGGCGTGTGCTCGTCGCTGACCGGCACGCTCATCGAGATTGTGGTCAATCGCCTGGCGTCCTTCCGCTTCGGCTTCTGCGTGGCCCAGCCCACGATGTCGGTCCACCATTGCCCGGAGGACGGCTGGCGCGACTGGGGCCACGGCCTAGGTGGCTTCTGCACCAATGTGGGCCTCGGGGTGCTCATGGCCGGCATGTCTGCATGGCTGGTCTTCGCCTTCGCGCCTGCGGCGGCCGGGTCGGGCATTCCAGAAGTCAAGACGATCCTCAACGGTTTTGTCATGCCCGACGTCGTGTCCCTCCGAACCCTTTGCGTCAAGGTGCCTGGCCTAGCGCTGTCGGTCGCCGCAGGCATGTCCCTCGGGAAGGAGGGCCCTCTGGTGCACGTGGCGGTCTGCTGGGCGGAGTTCCTGTCCCGGTTCTGCCCGCAGTTCCAGAACGAGGGCAAGCGGAGGGAGTTGTTCTCCGCGGCGGCGGCCGCGGGAGTCTCGACCGCGTTCGGCGCGCCGGTCGGAGGTGTGCTCTTCAGTCTGGAGGAGGTCAGCTCCTTCTTCCCCACGCGCACTCTGCTGCGTGCGTTCACGGCGGCCGTGTCGGCTGCGTTTACGCTCTCCGTGATCAATGCCGGCATGTCTAAAGGCGTGACCATGTTCAGTGTCGAGCATTCACAGGCCTGCAACCCCCTGGAGTATATCGGCTTCGCTCTGATCGGTGTCCTCGGAGGCCTGGTCGGAGCGGCCTTCAACTCCCTGAACACGCGCTGGTCGGAGATCCGCCTGCGGCCCGGCTTCCGCAAGAGGGTTCCTGCCATCTTCGAGGTCGTGTTGATCGCGTTGGTGACTCTGGTGACCTCGTGGCCCTCCGAGTTTACCCGTCCCCTAAGCGCGGATGCCATACACGCCATGTTCGAGAGTTGTGGACCGAACGTGAGCCAGAGCACGGTGGCGTCGCGCCTTGCGATGGGGCTCTGCGAGGAGGACGGGGCGTTCGCCCCGCTGAGCTGGCCGCTGGTGCGGGCGCTGGCGGCGGCTTGCGCGGTCCGCTTTTGCCAGATGACCATCACGTTCGGCACGGCCTGCCCCGCGGGTCTTTTCGTGCCCTCGCTCTTCATCGGCGCCTGCCTTGGCCGGCTTGTTGGCGTGGTGGCCTATGCGCTCAACCAGTCCCTCGGGCTCTTTCCCCAGGCGGTGCAGCCGGGCGTGTACTCGATGGTAGGCGCCGCCGCTGTCTTGGGAGGTGTATGCCGAGTGACAATCTCACTGGTCGTCATCATGTTCGAGCTCACTGGCAGCAGTTGTTACATCGTTCCCTTCATGCTCTCCGTGCTCATCGCGAAGCTTGTCGGAGACATGCTGAACGAGGGCATCTACGATCTGTACATTGTCCTCAAGGGGTACCCCTTCCTCAAGGAGGAGCTGGACGTGACGTTCACCGAGCGGTGCTGCGACATCATGGAGGCGAACCTGACGAAGCTGGACCTCAGCTGCGGACTCTGTGTGGGAGACCTGCGGTCGATGTTGGAGATCCACCCGTTTCGCGGCTTCCCTGTTGTCGACGGCCGCCATTTCGTCGGTTTCGTCAAGAGACATTCTTTGGAGTCTCTTCTCGTCGGGACGGGGCTGGACGCGGGGCACAGGGCGGACGACGACCCAGTGGCGCGCGCAGAGCTGGAGGCCGAGGTGGACCGGCACGTGCTCCGGATGGTGCCCGACGCGCCGCTGTCGGAGGTGCACAAGGTGTTCAAGCAGCTGGGCAATAAGTACGTCTTCCTGGTGGGCCCGTGCGGCTGGGGGTCGGGGTCCTACGACGCGCTGGTCGGCATGATCTCCAAGAAGAGGTTCATCCGCTTCCTGGAGTCGGGTGCCGTCGGGCACATGGCGGACCCGAGCGGCGCGGGCGGCATCAGGTCCTCCGCCGGTCTCGGCGCCAGGGCGGTCGTGGCCCTGCTGTCCCGGATGCGGGGCCGACTGCAGAGCATCGAAGAACAGAAGACGACATAGTTCGGGGGTGGACAGGCCTCCTGCCCTGACACGTCGATTTTAGTGAATTGTCCGTTTTCGGTTCTCCAGAAGGCGCTGCGGCCGTCATTTTCCAGGATTGCGCCCGCCAGGTTTGGGCCCGAGGTCGATTTCACTAAACCACGTTTTACTAAAGGGGGGTCTGTCCATCCCCGAATAGTTAATCACACGGCTGGTTCGCGTCGTGTCGACCAGCGGCGACCCCGCCGCTGGCGTTCAACGTTGGACGCCGCCGGCGACCCAGGATGGGTCGATGTGGAACTCTCTGACGCTTCGGAAACGGCTGATCCTTCGAGGTTGAACGATCCCCGCGGTGTCAGAAGCCCACGCCGAAGTCGGCACGACACGACCCTGCCGTACTCATTTTCGTTCGGAGGTTCGCCCAGCTGTCTCGGGTCCGCGCTGGGACCCCCCCACCTGCCCCCTGGCAGTGCCTCCGGGGTCGCCCCTGGCGCGCTCCGCGCGCCACGGAGGGGCCCCAGCGCCGACCCAGGACATCTGCGTTAGATTCTCGTCTTGGGGACGTGCCCTGGGCCTACCCAACGGATTTGTTCTCATGTTCGGCTCTAGTTCGACCCCAGTTCGACTCAAGTTCGAATCAAGTTCGACTCAAGTTCAACCCAGGTTCGACTCAGGTTCGACCCAGGGTCGACTCAGATCGACGGACGCTCGACGCAGCTTCGACGCAAGAGTGGAGCGAGTGTCTCCAGGAAGGTCCCCAGAATGAGCATCCATTGCGCGGACCCCCGATAGCGTACACCTATCATGTCGTGCTCTCTTCTTCTGGAGCGGCGGCGAGGCCGGGGAGCTGCAGGCGGGGGCCTTGGCCGAGTCCCTGCGGTCGTGGCCAGACCAGGGCGGCTGAAGCGCTGTGCGGGGGCGTGCGGGCCAGTCGGCTTCTGGCCGGTGGCACGCGGCCGCGTCAAAACGTGGTCCCCTTCGGGGGCCCAGAGCTTGACACCAACACCAGTATCGGCGGTGTGCCTCCACCAGGTGCAGATGGTCCCGATCTCGGTGCGGGTGGTAGTATTCGGGCTTCAGTGCGGCCAAGATCTTCACCGAGACAATCGTACCACTGCCACCTAGCGGGGGTGGCTGTCCCACCTTCTCGAGCTGGTGGCACCTCCGGGCATGCCTCGAGAGAGTTCCCGAAAGGAGGTGCCACCAGCTCGAGGGGAGGGAGCGGCCTCCCCCTAGCTGGTGGTAGTGGTACTTCTGTCTCTCCTGAGATATTACCACCAGTAGCAGAACCCAGGATCAGCTTCCCCTGGTTGAGGCAGACCCCGGAGTTGGTGTTGGTGCCCATCTCCTTCCAAGCTTCCTACCCCTTCGTGTTCCATGCCTCCCAGATTGCTTCGGCACTGCTCGGGCGTGTGCCTCTTCCTCGGCGGGGCGAGCGCCAGAACATGTCCACCACTCGGGGGTATCCTTGATCTCCTTGTGGGAGGTAGTGGTGGTCCTCCGCCTCTTCCTCCTCCTCCTACTCCTCCTCCTCCGCCTCTTCTTCCTGCTCCTCCTCCTCATCCCCCTCCTCCTCTCTCATCCCCCTCCTCCTCCTCCTCCTCCTCCTCCTCCTTCTCCCCTTCCTCTTCCTAAACACGCGCGCGAAATCGTAAACACGCACGGGGAATGAACGTCCGAGCGATTGCAAGATGGGGTCCGAGCAGGTGGGGTCAGAGGATCGCGCCACATCGCCGATGCATCGGCGATGCGTCTCGATGTGGAGCCCGAGTTTCTCTGCGCCAGCGTCGCCGACGTCGCCGACGCAGTGCCGATGCATCGGCGCGATCTTTCGACCCCTTGTGCTCGGACCCCATTAGGGAGGCCGCCACTTGTCCTGGTCTCTTCCCTGCCCTCCTGCACTCGCAGAAGGAACAACCTCGTGTACGAGCACAACCAGTCGGAGCTCCGTGCGGACCTCCCCGCCAGGAATTGGGGTCCGGCGCCAGCCAACAACCCTCAACAGCTTATGTCTGTGTCGTGGTGTGTTGTGGCTCTTCTTCTGCCCCTCTGCCCTGCTTCTCCCTGTCTTCTTCGGGGATCTGTCCGTGCCCAGGTGTCCGGCTGCCTGCGGCAAGTGCCGCCAGCCTGTCGGCCCAGCCATGTGTCAGGAGGGAAAGTAACACACTGACGCAATTAATCGTCGATTCCCTAGAAGATATTGGAAAATATTGGAAGTGGGGGGAAGACAAGAACCTAGAACATATGGACAAATATTTGGAATCCTGTTAGTTGTATCTATTTGTGTGTGTGTGTGTGTCCCAGGGCCCCTTCGTACCCGGCTGCCTGCGGCACGTGCCGCCAGCGTGTCGGCCCAGCCATGCGTGACGCGAGCGCTCGAGGAGCGCACGGGAAGTCGTCAAACCGGTGACGCTCGGTGTCCCGAGGTTGGCTGGGGGGAGGGGCGCAGAATTTTGACACGCTCTTCTGCGGCACGTCGGGGTTGCCTCTCCTCGCGCATCCCTTCCTGCCTCCTCGTTCTCGCGCGTCTCTTCCTTCCTCTTCGTCCTCCTTCCTTCCTCGGTCATGTTCGTCCTCGTCTTCCCTCCTCTTTCTCGCGCATCTCTTCCTGGGGCGGCTTCGATGCCCCTCGGAGGCCTTTGGGGGGGCGTCCCGGGGGTTCCTTTGGGGCAGTCTTAGAGGCGCTCTTGGGCAGGCTGGCACCTTCGGAGTCCGTCTGATGGGTCTCTCTGGCATTCTGCACCGTCTTGAGATCTGGAAAGGGTCGTCTTGCCTTGTGGAATCCCTTGGGCCGCCCTGGAAGCATCGTGGGCTGGCCGCGATGTTCTGTGCCTCGCGGACGCGCTCGACCCTCGTACCGGCGACACCCGCGCCAGCTCCCCCGAAGCACCCCTGGCCTGGCCGATACCCGCAAAGGTTGGCACGCGAACACCCGTCGAGCTTCCATGTGGAGATCCACTGCTTTGACAGCCCCGGCGGGCACTGCTGGGGCTGGGATCCCTCGTGGGTCGTCTTGAGAGCATCCTGGGCCGCCTTTTGGCCATCACTGGCCGCCTTGGGGCGATCTCGAGCCGTCCTGGAGGCATCTCGGGTCATCTCGGCGGCCTCGGTGGCCTGCGTGGGCCGATCTCGGAGGCCACATTTTCGGTCACTTTGGGCGCCGCCATGGAGAGCGCCAGGGGCTGGGGCGCCCAGGAGTTTTTCTGGGAGGGAGGAGAGGGTGGTGCACGCCCCTGAGCAGGATGACGAGGGTCAGGGGCAACGATAGGGGGGGATAGGCATAGGGGGGGATGCATCGACCCCCCACCGCCCATTGATCGCCGATAGGGGCCCCTGCCCAGGAAGGTTCGGACTCGCTATCGGGGCCCTATCGCCGATCTATCGGCGATGTATCGCCGATTCCAGATCGCTGCGTAGGCGCCTATGCCAGTCCCCTCCTATCAGGGCTGAACCTAAACGGTGTGTTTCGTTTTCGTTTTGTTTTCGTTTTCCCGCGCTTTTGTCTCGAATCCGCCGTTACCGCAAAACGCAGTCGGCACGAAAACGGCCCACGAAATCGCCAAAAACACAGTTCAGGTCCAGCCCTGCCCCCTGTATCGTTGCCCCTCAGAGGGGGGGGGCTCGGAGGCCAGATTTGGCGGCGCGCCCGAGGGGGAAGTGAGAAGGAGAAGGCCTTCTCAGAAGGCGACGGGACTTCTCAGAAGGCCTCGCGCCTCCTGAGCAGTTTCCTCTGTCGGGGAAGGCTTAGAAAACTTCTCAGAAGGCTGGAGGCCTTCCGATCATGCTGAGAAGGACCGCCCCTTCTCACTTCCTCCCTGGGCTCGCTGCTGAGAGCAGGATAACGACGGGGGGCCTCACAGGCTAGATGCTCAGAGAACCGAAGCCCCACCATACAGCACTGTGCATTCTGCCACGCCTCAGCGTGCCAGGAGCCATGGCTGCAGAGTCACCCGTTTGGAGGCTCTCCCCCCAAGGACCTCACGGTGCGCTGGATGTGGGTACGTTGTCGCATCTCTGGGGCGGAGAGTATGAAGATCAAACGGCCCGCGAGGTCCTTCAGGGCGCGTTTCCCAAGCGGTGGACACGTGCCCCTCCCCAAGGCCACGGCCACGAGCATTTCACAGGGTGAAGCGCTTCTTCAAGGCGACCCCCGCATCCGAGGGCCTTGTGGCCCTGCATCCCAGGGTCTAGTGGCCCTGCATCCCAGGGCCCTGGTCGACGGCGAGCAAGGGGGGGGGAGGGAGTGAGAAGGGGAAGGCCTCCTCAGAAGGCCGGGGGGGCTTCTCAGAAGCCCTCGCGCCTCCTGCGACGTTTGCTGCGTCCTCGGGGGAAGGCTTAGAACACTTCTCGGAAGGCCGTGGGCCTTCCGAGCCTTCTGAGAATGCCTTCTCCTTCTCGCTTCCCCCCCTCTCCCTCGCCGCCGATCTGGGCCCGGCCAGGGGCCGAAGACCTTGGAAGTTGTGAGTTCGCCATCTCTTGGGGGCGACGCCCGGATCTTGAGGGGTCTTCTTCGTCCTATGCTCCGACGAGGAGAGGGCCTCCCGCCGCGCAGGCCATGAGGGTGCTCTCGGGCAAGCAGCGGGAGGCCTTCGAGATGGCGATGTCCAGGATGGAGCGCCTCGAGCGGGAGAACCAGGAGCCCGAGGGCGCGGCCTCTCGCCGGCGTCGGCGTCGGTGTGGGTGTTCTTGGGCGCGCTCCTGGGGGTGTTCTCACCGCCACGGCGCCAGGGTCCCGGGCGAGGCTTCCCGCCTCCGCCGCCGCGGTCGTCTGGGATGTTGCCGGAGGGCGTTCTGGAGGTGCTCGTCGCCGGGGCTGGACGCGGCGAGGCGTTTCCAGAGGCTATCGTCGCCACTACTGGACGTGGTCAGGGCGAGTCCTCTCGCCATTGTGGACGTCGCTTCTGAGGTGTGTGTGTGTGTGTTTGTGTGTGTGTGCGTGTGTGCGTGTGTGTGTGTGTGTGTGCGTCGGTGATTATGTGTGTGCGTGTGTGTGTGTATGTGTGTGTGCGTGTGTGTGTGTGTGTTTGTGTGTTAGGGGGCGTTTCTGCGGGCTCTCCTGACCAGCTTAGACCCCGGGAGGGGCCGGGGGACATGTTTCGAGTATGGCTAGACCAAGCTATAAGAGCGAGGTCGCTTCTGGGAGGGTATCTTTCTGTTCTTCGCAGTTGTCGGGTGTTCTTTTGCATCCTGGGGAAGGAGGATACCCTTGAGTGATCTTATGGCTTGGGGGCTTTCGCCCGGCGGCGGGTCTCATGCTCTCGAGAGGTGTTCTTCTGTCTTGGGTGCGACCGCAGGGGGGGGGCCAGATTTCTAGGGAGGCGGGGGGCTCAGACGGCACCTGGGGCTTCTCAGAAGGCAGCTCCTCAGAAAATCGCTGCTTCTCCTCAGAAGGCCGCCCCCCTCGCCCCACCCCGGCGTCGCCGGTGCGCCGACGATGCCGCGCGATCCGTCGACCACATCTATCCTAGGTCCTCTTGGGCGGCCTCCTGAGCTGGAGGCCCTCAAGCCAGAGCCCCTAATCGTCAGGGCCGGGGGCGGTCAGGGGTGACCACAGGTTCGCGCCTCGGGGGCCCAGGCTGGAGTTGCCCCGGACCGCAGTTATCCCGGATAATGCGGGCGTCCAGCCCTCCCGACTCATCAGGGCTTGGGGCGGTCAGGGGTAATTGCAGACTCGCGCTTCGGGGGCCCAAACCAGAATTGTCCTGGACCGAGGTGATCCCGGATAATCGGAGGTTGATGGACCTCTTACCCTGACGCGTCGATTAGCGAATTTGCCGTTTTCGGTTCGCGAGAGGGCGTCGCGGCCGTCATTTTTGCGGGTCCAGGTCCGTCGGTTTCGGTCGTAGGCCCTTTTCACTAAAGGGTGGTCTACTAAAGGGAGGTTTGTCCACCGCCGAGATAATTCGGGCGTCCAATTAATCTGACTGGGTGTTGACTTCTGCGCTCGGGGCAATGCTTGTCCACTCCGCTTTCTCAGGTCCGTGCTCTCCTGCTCGGCTCGAGGCGCATGGGCTTCGGGCAGCAAGGCGAGGCCGTCCACGGACAGAATGTCCTCACGGCTGTACATGCCTAGAGTTAGCGCGCGTCATTCGCGCCATATCCCGTTGGAACAGGATGCTTGCTCCTTGCGAGTTACCCTCCAACGTCCGACGCATGGGAGAGGTAGGAGCGAAGAGGGGGGTGGGCTGGGTGGGGATGCAGGGGGAATCGCCAAGGTAAGCCCGCGAGTGGTGACAGAGTCGGCCTGACCAAACGCTCGACATCTGGGTCATCGCTTGAAGGCGAACTCTGCAGAGTTTCTCATCCCTGCTGGTTTGTATCGAAGACGCCTACGGCGAATCACCGCCGCCCCCTGCCTTTTTGGAAACGCCGATGTGGCCGAAAGTTGGACTAGAGCTTGGCCAAGCTATCGGACCATGAGTTCCCCGAGTCGGTTTGGAAAGCTTTCGGGGAACACATGGGAGAGAATGATTATGAACAGGAAGAGGAAGAGGAAGAAATAGAGTAGGAGGATGAGGGTTGTTAGGAGTCTCTTGGGGCACCCTTGGGGTCTGTTGGGGGCTTCTTGGGGGCCTCTTCGAGGCCTCTTGGAGGCATCTTGGGGGCCTCCTTGGGCCTCTTGGGGGCCTTTGGGGGCTTCCTGGGGGTCTCTTTGGCCGTCTTAGGGCGTTCCTGGTCCGTCTGACGCCGTCTGGAGCCGTCTTGGGGGCCTCTCTGGGCCGTCTTGGGGCCCTCTTGGGGCGCTTCAGGGCCGTCTTGGAGGCCATGTTGGGCGTCTTGGAGGCCTCTTGGGCCGTCTTGGGGCGCTCTTGGGGCCGTCTTGGGGGGCCCTTGGGCCGTCATAGGGCCTTCTTGGAGGCCTCTTGGGCGATCTTGGGGGCCTCTTGGGCCGTCGGAAGGCCGAAAAGAAGAAAACGCAAAAAACCTTCAAAAACCTAAGGACAACCAATGATTTTGGCCTCTTCGGGCTCTCCTGGAGAACGTCTTGGAGGCCTCTTGGGCCATCTTGGAGGCATCTTGGGGCCATCTTGGCCGTCTTGGAGGGCATCTTGGGCCGTCTTGGAGGCATCTTGGAGCCATCTTACCCGTCTTGGAGGCCATCTTGGCCGTCTTGGAGGCATCTTGGAGGCCATCTTGGGCCATCTTGGCCGTCTTGGAGGCCATCTTGGGCCAAGATGGGGCAACACAGGCATTGACAGACGGATTTTCGGAAACTTACGGGTGGCCGGCGGGACGGGCCGAAGCCCACTGGGGAGTTCTTTTAGAAAAAGAACCAAAACCAAAACCTGAATCATCCAGCACGCCGTGCACCCCTGTGGCAAGACCACAGGGGGCGGCGGATCCAATGGCCTTCGGCCCATCCCGCCACCGTGTCTGGGTCGTGGGTGCATAGTGGAGGTTCCTTGCGGGCCTCTGGGGCGCCTCTAGGGGCATCCTGGAGGCATGTAGCCCGGGGTTAGGGTGCCTGTTAGGGTCATCTCGGGGGCCTCCTGGGGGCCTCTTGGCGGCCTGCCGTCGGTCTCGGGAGTGTCATCTTGGGGCGGAGGGCTCGACGTGTTAGTTCGTGCTCCTCCTGGGGGCCTCTTTTAGGGCCCTGTCGTGACCGTCTTGACCCGTCTTCGGGGCCTCGCGGGCCGTTCTGGGCACATTCGGGCAGTCTTTGGGTTCTCTCTGTGGGCTACTGGGCCGTCTGAGGGGATCTTCGGGGCCTTGTGGGCTGTCTTGGATTGTCGGCAGCTCGACAAGGTGAGAGCGCTCAAATCGGGCAAAACACAAACATAGAAATCAAAGATGTGGTCCTCTTGGAATGCTCTTCGTCTGCGTCTTGTGGCCTTCTTGGGGCGTTTTCGGGGCCTCTTGGGCCGTCTTGATTCCATCGTGGGCTGTCTTTAGGCACGCATCGGTCGTCTCGGCGCTCCGTGCGACCGTCTTGGGCTCTTCTCGGAAGACTCCTGCAGGTTCGTCGGGTCGTTCCGAGCGGGTTCACCGTCCCGGAGGCCGACGCGACACACCCCGAGAGCACCGAAGAGCGCCAAGAATGTTAAGGAACATCGTGCCGTGGTCCCTGCGAACTTCCAAACCGGCCGAATTCGCACACGTGCACGAGCTTTGGAACATTCCATAGATTGCTGAAGTCAAGGTTGCGGGTGAGGGTGTTTTACTGATTGCGAATGCACGCTCTCTGAATGAAGGGAATGTCCAATTGCTCAGGAGCTGATGGAAATTTTGTTGCAGATGCAGTCGCTGCTGCAGCAACAGCAGCAGCGGAACGCCAGGTGGGCGTGTGGTCGGGCGGCACAGGGTGCGCCTGTTTGATGAAACATGCATTCAGGGAGCTTGTCATGGCACTCAGGTCGTGGTGTGTGCACCAGTACCGTGAGTGGATGGACCGGCTGCCACCCTTCGTCATGCTATTCGTTGGCTTGTGGAACTCAGCGTGTATATTCATATACAGAGATCTGAATTGAGGCACGTTGAGGGTCATGGGGGGAAGCGTGAGAAGCACAGGATAATTGCACACTCAGGACGTGCTGTGCGTCTAGGGCTTCTTTCGTCTGGCGTGCAGCTCGGCCCCGCCCGTGCATCCCAGGCATGCGTGCATCACCAGCACTATGCCCTACGCATGCTTGCTCGGTACAGGACGGGCGTTACGGCCTGTCCTGTACCAGGCCTGCTCACCCGCGCTCTTCATCCTGTCCCCCGCTCCGATGTTTCCAATCCTCTTTCCTGTTCCTCCCCCCTCCCCCTCCCCCTCCTCTTCCTTCCCTCCTCCCTCTCCCCTCCCTCATTGTCTTCCTCTCCACCTCCTAACCTTTCCTCCTCCTCCCCTCCACCTTCCACGGCCATCTTGGCTCGCGGAGCCCGGCGCTGCGCGCGGCTCTCCGCGCCTTGCGGGCGCGCTCCGCGGCCACGCGGCGAGCCGATGGCCGGACTTCGGCGCGGACGATGACATTGTCGCCGCGGCGGCTGCGCCGCCCGGCTCGCGAGGCGACGGCTCGCGTGGCAGGGTGGCGGCCGTGCGCGTGCCGGGCAGCGCTGCGACGAGGACACCGGGCCCGATGCGGCCTTCGGCGCGGCCTTCGGGCGAGGCCCCGTGCGACTGCCCTGGGGGCCCACGGCGCGAGCTGCGGCGAGGCCCCGGAGGGCGGCCGAGCAGGTCGAGCGCTCTTGAGGGAGCCAGGGCAGGAGAGGCCGCGGGCTGGGAGACGGCGGACGGGCCCTGCCCGGGTGAAGGCAGCCAGGCTCGGCATGGTCGGCCCCCCTGATGGGGTCCATCGGCCAAGCGCAGGGGGGGGGGGTATTGGGTTGGCGGGGCGGCGTCTTAGAAGTTCCCCTGGTTCTTTGAAGGCGCTGGCCTTATCTGTAGATCAAGGCTGGGGACTTCTCAGAAGCAGGGTGCTTCTAAGAAGCCTTATCCCCTCTCCCCTCTCCCTACCCCCGCATGGTCCCCGCCCTGATAGGGGCCCACCGTTTGGATAGATTCCGGGAGGAGCTTCAGAGGAGGAAAGGGTACCCATGCGGTTACCTTTCCCTCTCTTTCCCCTGTTGGGGGCCTCCTGGGTGGCCCTCGTCGCCACCGCTGGATTCGCTTGGAAATCCTGGTCAGAACGCACCCCAGGAGAGGTCCGAGGAGCAGCGGTATTGGTACCTCTTGGTTTCCCCAGAGCTCTTCACGATGGACAGGCAGGGCTCGGGGGGCGGGGGCAGCTGGCAATTCGACGCGGTGTCAGGGAAGCTGAGGGGCCCCATGCTGGGGTACGTGTCGGACCAGAGTGTCGGAGCAGTGCGGAGCGACCGTGACGTCCTTGGATTGGCAGGGCTTGTGGGAGCCCTGGCGGCGGACCAGACCGGCAGGCGAGAAGGTGATCTTCGGCAAGGAGGTTTTTGCGAGTTTGAAGTTGCCCTCCCGCTCGGAGCTGCTCGTCAAGGCTAATTAACAAACTCGACAAGGATATCATCTCCATGAAGGACGGCCTCCCGAGCAGAAAGTAGTTTGGCTTCGCGTATGAGGAGGAGCTATTTGTTTTGTTTGGAGGCCCGACACAGAGGAGGGCACCTTGAACGGGGAAGGCCGTCTTCATATGCTTGGCTTTCTGGAGGCGAGTGCAGGGCCTCTTGAATGAGTGCCTCTTGCAGGGGGATGGTATCGCCATGGTGCCGACGTTGCTGCTGATTGCTGGTTCTCCCATGCCGCTAGAAGCCCCCCCCAGTTGCCGCATCCTCCTGAAGATCTGAGTGCATGAAAACCTCATGCGTTCTGCGGGTTTCGTGGACGTGGCTCGCCACATGAGCGCGGGTGCCTCCAGAATGCGCAGCGAAGCCCCGCGAGTAATCATGGTAGGCTTCGCGAGCGCGAGCGCGAATGAGAAGCTGATCCACATGAGCGCGACCATGAATGCGAGGAGGTCTTCGTGAATCCGATGGATCTCAGGAGGGAGGTATCTTTAGCGCAGGGGGCCTTGCTAACGTGAATTCTCCTGCGCCTTGCAGGGCACCGTCCGATCCCCACGGGTTCCAGCAGGTCTTGATGCAGCAAGAGGTCAGAGAGGTCGGTGTGAGCGCTGCGCACCCGAAAGAGATAGACAACACGAAATGGCTGCCGAGAGAAACTTTGTCCACGACCTGCGGGACGGGAGCTGGTTACCTGTTGCCGACGGCTGCTTCGGAAGGCAAGCTCAAGTGTAAATTCGTCGTAGACAATGCGGCGTATCCAACGTGTCGCACCATGCGAACATGGCCTACTTCCATGAAGACCGGCGCCCAACCTATGACGTTGCTGATTGAGGGCAGCAGCGCATCTGGGATCTGCATCTCACTCGCACCAGTGCGCGGTGGAGTTGCCGTGCTCGATCTTTATCCTTCTCACTGGTTCCGTGTAGAACGGCGCACGTTATTGTATTGGCGTTTGGGCTCTTGGACAGCATTCCCAACAGACAAGGTCGCGTTTCATGTGCGTTGCATGGTTGACGGCGTGCCGTCCCTATAGTCGGTAATGTGGTCCCGGCTCCTCATTTTTGGTCAGATGCATATTGGTGACGATTTTGCCAGAGTTCTGGAGTAATTTTGGCGGCGGTATGTGCTGTGGTTCCTGTTGCACGTGGATTGGGGCGTTTCTTGGAGTACCGAAGCATTTGCATCGTTAGGTACGGGCTGATCTGGCTGATGGAGTGGCTCCTGGTCCGCTGGACATGGTCCCCTACATGGTTGTAGAGTAGGTCAGGCTGCGCGCGTTGTCAAGTGGTGTGCGCTGAACTTCATGATGGGCCGTGGCCTGGTGCTGCTGCACCTGTTCCTATACAGGATGATGGAATATGTCCAGACTTACACAGCTCTGCAGATGGCAACGGCGCGGTCCACGCCAGCTATGGGCACGGTTCGGATGTCCTTGAGCATACCGCGTGTGGCCGTCCCCGCGTCGACCGCGATGCGTACGATGTGTATCCAGTTGCGCATGCCAGCAAGGAGCTCCACACAACCGAAGGCGAACAATCTTTGTCGCCCAAGGGGTCTTGTCAGCAATAAGAGTGACCACTGGATGTTCTTTAATGGGAAGCTATTCAACTGTCGCGGACCGCTCCCGAGGTCCTTCAAGAGCTGAATGCGCCGTCTTGCCGCTTCCCTCCCTCCTTGGACGTCCTCTTTAGACACCAGTGTCCCCGCGTAGGGTTTTTTAACGCGTCGCGCGGTTGACATCGCTGCGACAGCAAGAAGCGACGGTCGCGGAGGTGGGGATTCTTGGCCGCCTTGGGAGATCATCTGCCGCGGTCGCTGATGGTCCCCTCTTTGGCTCTCGAGACCGGCCCGCGTGCCGAGCGGAGCCTCGCGGATGCCCCCGAGATGCTCGGGAGAGATCCCCCGCTGTCTGCCGAACGCATGGAGAAGTGTGGCTGTCTGGAGGTGGGGCCCGCCAACATGCCCCATCTCCCGGGCGTGTTGAGGCTTCCGCGCGCTCGCCTGCGGGCCCCAGGCTCGGCATGCCACCGGGCAGACCGGCGGTTTTCGGTGTCTGGATACATGTAGTGTTGATGCACGCTTGGAGGAGGGCGGGCTATGTTCTTCCTGCTGTTGCTGATGCTTCTCGTTCTCCTCTTGTGTCTCCATTCTCTGCTCCACCTCCTCTCTCTCTACCCGCACCTCCCCCCCCGTTTCTTAACCTCCTCCTCCTCCCTTCCTTTTTGTTTCGGGTTACCTCCCGTCTGATCCCGTCTCTGCCTTCATCCTTTCTCCCTTCCCCTTTCTCCCGTCTCTTTGCCTCCCTTCTCTTTCCGTTGCCTCCTTCTGTCTCCCTTTCCGTTGCCTTCCTTCCCTTCTTTGTTCTTTACCCCCCAACCTCCTTTGCCCCCGTCCGTCCCCCTTCCCGCTTCTGCCCACTTGACGTGACGTGGCACGCAGTGGCTACTGCTGATGCTTCTGACTCTCATCCTGTGTCTCCGCTCCCTGCTCCACCTCCCTCTCCCCCTGCCTCCGCCTACGAATTCCCAGTCTCCTCCCCCTTCCCCTCTCTGGTTGCCCCCCCCTCCTCCCCTGCGTAGCGACGAGGAGCGTCAACCACGCCAAGCAAAGACACCGCAGACCACAGGCCCGAAGGATTCTCCTCCCTCCTCCTCCTCCTCCTCCTCCTCCTCCTCCTCCTCCTCCTCCTCCTCCCCCTCCTCCTCCCCCTCCCTCCTCCTCCTCCTCCGCCTCCTCCTCCTATCCCTCCTCATCCTTCTCCTTCCCCTCCTCCTCTGCCTCCTCCTCCTCCTCCTCCTCCTCCTCCTCCTCCTCCTCCTCTTCATCCCCCATCCCCTTTGCCTCCCTTCGTTCCCCTCTCCGCTTCTGCCCCACCAAACGTGGCGTGGCACAAGCTGTGGTGACAATGGTGACAAAGGGCGCGGGGCGGGAGGCTGACGCAGCTGGCGGGCCTCAGCGCTTCTGGGACCAGCAGCGGGCCGGCGGTGCGCCGCTCCCGTGCCTGGGAGCAGGAAAGTCGGGAGTCGCTGAGGGTGCCCCTGGCCCAAGGTGCCCCCAGCTCTTCGCCCAATTTTGGATCTCCTGGGGCCCTTCTGGGCCTCGTGAGGGGTGCTTCGGAGGCTGTGGGGGCCTCCCCGGAAATCGTGGGGGGCACTTTTGGCAACACCCGAGAAGGGTGTGGAGAAAAAAATCGAGGGTCAATGTGTGTTGGCAGGTGCTTCGCTGTTGTGGAGCTTCAGGGGTATGCCCCCTGAATGCCTCTTCATGTTTTTTTCGGGAGGATGGGGAGGGCGATAGAAATCCGTAAGGGCTTCGCCCTCTGCCGCTAGCCCCCTCTCTATCAGACTGGGATACGCCAGCGCTGTGCTGAGATGTCTGGGCGCTGGTTTGAAGCAATATCCCAACCTCATGCGAGGACAGCTGGTATTCGCGACGTCATGTACAACAAGTCGTGGCCTCTGGGGTCGTCAATCTGGCGCAATCTGCTACGGATCGTCGCCCCGGGGGCGCGGAACTGGTGTAATCCCATGAGCCCATCGAGAAAGTATGCCCAGCCGAGTTGCCTTGATCGGGCATGTTGAGGAGGAGGAGAAGGAGGAGGAGGACGGGGAGGGGTGGGGGAGGAGGGAGGGGGGGAGGAGGGCAGGAGGAGGGATCGGCGGATGAGGAAGAGTCAGAAGGGCCGGAGGCTTCTTGGATGCCTCTCGGAGTCTTCTTCGAATGTCTCCACAAAGCTTCTTGGAGTCCTCTTGGGGCCTCCTCGGCGCTCCTTGGAGCGTCTTAGGGGGCCTCGGTGAAGCCTCTTGGGGCCTCTTGGGGGTCTTTCGGGAGGCTCCTGGGGACCGTTTGGGGACCTCTTCGGGCCTTCTTGGCGCCTCTTGGGGCCCTTTTGAGGCACCAGTAGGAGCCTTACAGGCTCTCTTGGGGCACTCTTGGAGGAGCTCGACGAAACACGGGGGTGTGGTCAATTAGACCCCCCAAGAAGGAGGCCCAAATCGGCCCACAACCTTGGAAACGTAGAGGATTTGTGGTTTCTCGCCGAGGAGTTCTTGGACGCCCCAATCGGTTGCGAACTCCTCCGTCCAGGTCCAGGGGGAGGGTGGATGGGGGAGACCTCTGGCCAACAGGCACAAGCAGTCTCGCTTATTTCCGCCTGCCCTCCCAACACAGAAGTAGCACCCGAGTGTCCCGATCAAAAAACATGGCAAAGCGGGCGCGGGGCGCCCGTGATTGCTCAAGATTTGGGAGGCAAAGTGTAATTCGCAATTTTGTTGACAGGGATGTTTGCCTGCATCAAACAATATCAGTGAGAGCACCCCGATGACCTCTGTCGAATACCAGGACTACGAATACTGATATTTCGGCGATTGTTTTTGTTATGATTATTTCTACTACGACTACGACTACTACTACGAATACGACGACTACTATTACTGCGACTACTACTATTACTACTACTACTACTACTACTGCTACTACGACTACTTCTACTTCTACTACTACTACTACTACTACTACTACTACTACTACGACTACTACTACTACTACTACTACAACTACTACTACTACTACTACTACTACTACTACTACTACTACTACTACTACTACTACTACTACTACTACTACTACTACTACTACTACTACTACTACTACTACTACTACTACTACTACTACTACTACTTACTACTACTACTACTACTACTAGTAGTAGTAGTACTACTACTACTACTACTACTACTTCTACTACGACTACTACGACTACTACGACTACGACTACTACAACAACAACAACTACTACTACTACTACCACTATAACGGCTACTAGTACTAGTGCTAGTAATCCAAATTATTATTACTACTACCCCTTCTATTACTACTGCGCACACTACTATTCCGACTACATCAACGACGACTGCAATTATTACTGCTACTGCTGCTACTACTACTACGGCGGCTGCTACTACTACTACTTGTTCTTTCCTCGTGCTTCTTATTTTTCTGGTACTAGTACTTATACTACTATGTTTACTACTCCTACTGTAACTACTATCACCATCGCTATGACCATCACTGATACGACGACTACTACAACTAATACTGTTACAACGATTAGCACTTCGACTACTACTACTACTACTACTACTACTACTACTACTCTTACTACTACTACCACCACGACGACGACGACTACTACTACTATCAATACTAGTACTACGACTTACCATTATTACTACTACTACTACTACGACCTCGGCGACGACTACGCTTATTATAATTACTACTACGATTACTGTTACTACTAGTAGCATTACTGCAAATACTACTATACTATCTAGACGACCTGTGACGATTGCTATTACGTTTACTAGTGCTACTATTACGGCTACGGCTATTACTACTACCACGATTACGATTGCGCCTACTGCTAGCACCACGACTTCTATTACAACAACTATTAGCAATACTCCCATTATTCCCATCGTTGGTACTATTTCCACTAGTCCTACTCCGTCTTCTTTTTTTACTACTACGACAGCGACTACGACCACCACTACTACTACGACTTCACTTCGACTACAACAACAACTACTACTACTACTACTGCTACTACTCGTACTACTACGACAACTACCACCACTACTACTACGACTACGACTACTACTACTACTACTACTACTACTGATACTGACACTGCTACTGCTACATTACAACTAATTGTGTTACTCGTATTACTTTTACGACTACTGTTACTCCTACTACTACTACGACCACCACTCTTATTACTGTTATTGCTACTACTGTTACTACTACTACTACTACCACTACTACTACTACTACTACTACTACTACTACTACTACTACTACTACTACTACTACTACTACTACTACTACTGCACTACTACTACTACTACTACTACTACTACTACTACTACTACTACTACTACTACTACTACTACTACTACTACTACTACTACTACTACTACTACTACTACTACTACTACTACTACTACTACTACTACTACTACTACTACTACTACTACTACTACTACTACTACTACTACTACTACTACTACTACTACTACTACTACTACTACTACTACTACTACTACTACTACTACTACTACTACTACTACTACTACTACTACTACTGCTGCTGCTGCTGCTGCTGCTGCTGCTGCTGCTACTATTAGCGTGGCTGTATCATTCAGCCCGAAACAAAACTAGAACGTTGGAGTTCCGCCGTCCCGAGAAAATGGATGCACTCCAGGCCACGACAACATTGGGTTCAACGTTCGCACTTGAAGTTAACGTTTATTGTTATTTTTTCGGTGGAGGTCGCCAATCGTACCCAGCTTGGAACAAGCGGACTTTGAACTGCGAGATTCCAACGTTACGAGCCAGTTTCGCGTTAATTGTTTTCATCCACGGCTTTTGACAAGGCTGATCCGAGGGCATTTTTTGACTTCTATCCACGATGTGGGCCTCGCGCTGGTCAACCGTGCTGGCACTTTACCGATCAGGCAATGTGGCCCCGATGGGCTGCATTGGCTGCAACGTTACGATATGTTCGGATCTCGCTTGGCGCCGATGAGAGCGCCAAGAATGGCGTTTTGGAGCGTTCCGCTGTTTTCAGTGCTAGCCTGGCTATTACGAGTCGATCCGGGGATCGGCAGGAATGGCGTTTTGGGACCTTTTCGGTTTTTCCGCACATGTTTCGTGGGGTTCTGGTTTTCTTCCCTGCCGCGTTGCACCCGCGACGCTCAGTCACCTCCCTCTTCCCATTCCTCCGTTTTCCTCGCCTCACCCACGCGCAACACCTGCACGTGCACGGCACGTGCATGAGACACGCGTTTTGATACAGCCGCACGCATGCACACACTCACCCACAGGGGGTGGTCCCCCAGCGCGGTGTCTATACGCGCCAATGTCGGGCGCGGCATCTTCTCGACACCAAAGGGGGTGCGCAGGGGGTGGTCCCCCACCGCGGTTTCTATACGCGCCAATGTCGCAGGGCTTACCAGAAGCGTTGCAGTTTCTCGACACCAGAGGGGGTGCGCAGGGGGTGGTCCCTCAGCGCGGTGTCTATACGCGCCAATGTCGCAGGGCCTAGCAGGCGTTGCATTTTCTCGACACCAGAGGGGGTGCGCAAGGGGTGGTCCCTCACCGCGGCTTCCATACGCGCCATATGTCGCAGGGCTTAGCAGTCGTGGCACGTTCTCGAAACCAAATGGGGGTGCGCAGGAGGTGGTCCTTCAGCGCGTTTTCTATACGCGCCAAAGCCGCAAGGCCGAGCAAACGTGGCACTTTCTAGACACCGGACGGGGTGCGCAGGGTGTGCGGTCATTATCCGTTTCGTCCTCGCAAAGCGTGGCAAGCGTGGTACTTTCTCGACGCCACAAGGGGGTGCTCTGGGGGTGCGGTCGCTATGCGTTTCGGGCTCGCAAAGCGTGGCAGGCGTGGCACTTTCTCGACGCCACAGGGGGTGCACTGGGGGTGCGGTCGCTATGCGTTTCCGGCTCGCAAAGCGTGGCCGGCATGACTTTTCTTCGACGCCACAAGGGGTGCGCTGGGGGTGCGGTCGCTATGCGCTTTGGGCTCGCAAAGCGTGGCAGGCGAGACATGTCCTCGACGCCACGGGGTGCGCTGGGGGTGCG